TGCTGGTAATATTTTGTTTTGTCAAAAATCTATTTCTGATATTATTTTTTTCAAAAATATATTGCTGGTAATTTTTTTTTTTTTTTTTTTCAAAAATTTATTTCTGGTAATAATTATTTTACAAAGTATTTCTGGTATTAAAGCCTATTTTTACACTTTTGTTATGCTTTTTACCTCAGTTTTGGTGTTAACTATTTGCCCATAGCTGGGATCCTAAATGGTGATACCACCTCGGTTCAGGGTGGACCAGGGAACACCAGCAATTAAAAGGTGGTTCCACGCTCCTCAAAGCCTCCTGATAAAAGGCCTTGCTGCTGGACGTAGTTTATCGTCATACACAGGACGGGAAGTAAGACAAGAAACAGAGAATCTAGTCAACTAAATTTGGATACAATGTTAAAGATATGCATTTGAAAATAAATAATGATAACACATCATCTGAGAAATTTAGAACAGACATTAATTACAGGTAATTTAGTTTTTGTGAAGCAAAATGATAAATGCTTTCCACAGTGTTTGGCAACCAATTCTGATCAATACGACTGCATTCAAATATATCTTGTCATTGTCATGCTTCCAGTCTTGTAAAAAAGTATTGCGTAACAATCTCAGATATCAATGAAGTGGTGAAAGTATATTCTGATAACCAAGTCCGTCTCTCAAAATTTTATGAAAATCATTTTAAATAAAGCAAAAAATGAGGAATCATATTCGATCATTTTGGCAGAACAACAAAAACGAAAGGAAAATACATGACAACCTTGACATTTTGCCATCATTTTGTGTCTACAAGTTGCAAGCAATGCCAACACACATACATATACTGATCAAAAGAATTAGATTAATTAAGGTAGGACAAGGGGTGTAATTTCCTAGTCATCAAATATTTGAGAATGGAGAGAAGGTTTAAGGGGAAAATTCTCTATTCATAATGGACTCTGTTCATCAGATTTACAACTTTGCCATTAGAAAAATAACTGTACACCAAACATCACATTTTTTTAATCATTTCACCCTCAAGCAATGCCATTTACACATAAAGGCTGACTGAGAAAGAAAATGAGAAGACTTTAGGAGAAGGAGGAGGAAAGCCAATCCTAAACAGGAAAATTGAATCAACCTCAAGTCTTTTTCAAAAGATGGAGCAAATGACATACAGATATATTTTCTTTATTAAGACTTTGATTACCAACACTTGTAAGCATCAAGTATAGTAGGAAAAAAAACATGTCTACTCAAAGTGTATCCACTAAATATAATGTTTACTAGATATAATTTCAGATTAAAAAGTGCATTAAATCATTAAAAATAATTTGCTTTACACTTTGGGTACACAAATGTATTGAGTAGATATAGATTTAAAAAGGACCCAAAAAGTGATGAACTTTACTTAAAAAGGCTAACTGTGCCTTCATTTACTATGAGGTCTCTGATGTCTAACCTGTCTAAAGCACACTGACTTCAAAGTGGTTTCCCCAATATAAGAAAAACATGGGTTCAATCACTGCAATGAAAAAAATTTTCTTTATTACGACTTTTGATTGCTAAGGCCAGTAGACATAAAAAAAAAACAGAATACCTATTTAGATATAGAATTTGTTTATTAATACAGGTCTAGGTAGGTACATTACACAAGTCAAAAAATGATTTAGTATTTTGTTGGGTAACCTTTTGCTATTATAATGGCCTTAATTCTTTATGGCATGCTATAGACTAAATTCTAATCAGAGGCCTGACGTTAACCCAATTTAAAACCTTTTATATATATATATATATATATATATATATATATATAGATAGATAGATATATAATATTAATATTAGTATTAATTCAGGTGTACATATGCACATTATACAAGCCAAAAATGATTTAGTATTTTGTTGGGTAACCTTTTGCTTTAATAACAGCCTTAATTCTCTGTGGCATGCTATAGACTAAAACAAGAGGTGATCATTACTTAAAAAGTCTAACTGAGCCTTGCTTTAGTGTGAAGTCTTTGGTGGATGAATAGATCTACCTTAAAGATATCTTAGAGATGTCTGTAAAGTAAAGCCTAACACTGGGGTGAACAAGATCAAGAACTGTGTATACTCCAATCTTTTCAGCTGCAGTGAAGAATATAAAGGTGAAAACAAGCTGACCCCTAAAAATAAGGCTGGAGGAACATCAAAAAATGAAGGGTAAGACAATAAAATCAGACATGGATGTTCATGCAGGGAGTGAAAATGGTAGTCATCAGCTGTGTTGAATGACGTGAAAATACTGGACAAGGTAAAACACTGGAGAGTCTGAAAGAATCAGCATATATGCTAAGCTATGAGAACATCATTAGTAGACCTAGCCTAGAAATAAATACCATTTGGGAGTTGCTAATAAAGAAAAAAGACAAATGATAACAGCTCTTCAACAGCAGCAGCAGTTGTAACAAAAACACAGCAAGCTTCAGTGAGTCTAGTCAAGCATGACAAGCAGCATCAGTACTCAACAGGCAGGCAGGATAGTTTTAAGACTCCAAGATAAAGGCTTTCCACAGATGGGACAATGGCTTAATGGAATAAGTGTTGGTTTATGAATTTGGTGACAACTTTGAGATCAATCTCTGGGCCAGGTAATATGTAATTGGACTCAGTGTGAGAAATAACTGAGCAGTACTAAAAATAAGACTAGATGAGGTATCACTAGATATGGACAGTGGAACAGGGACAATAGATGAAAATAGATTAAATAAAGAGTTTTCAGAATTCCTTGTACACCCTTGTGCAAATTAATTAAAACAAAATTCCATTATTATTCACTTTTTCTCATATTTTTTCCAGTGAAACATGACCCAGTACACATGTTAGTATTTTATATATCCCTTCCAGGAAGTCGTTCCTTGCAGATTGACCACAAATTCTCACTTGGATTTAATACAGGAGAGTTTCCAGGCCAGTCTTTAGTTCTTTGTTGTGCTCACTGGTAAGTCATGCCAGTGTGTTCATGCAGCATTACAATTTTCATATGCTTCCTTGGAGTAATGTCCATCACAGACAATGGTCACAGGACAACTAATCAACAGTGAAGACAATAGTGTCTGGGCATGATAAAAATCTGATACAATTATAGATGACGCAATATTTTTCAAGGCAAACAAATTTCATCATATAACTTGAAAATAGATTCATATTACTGTACACCACTGCAAATGACCTAATCTGAGGAAAAAATAGAAATTGATTATACACTGTCACTCCAGTGGATCTAAAACTGACTGTATGGTGAAAGAAAGGAAACTAAAGTGGTTGTTTCAATTAATTTGCACAAGGGTGTAGGTTACTTGGATTAATATACAACTGATGAAGGCCAGAGGGCACAACATCCGAAACATTGTGATAACAACAACAAATATAAGGACCATAGTCTGAATATAAATAGTGTAAATATATTTATAATTATAAATTTTGTATGGTTGTGAAACATGGACGATCTATCATCGTCATATTAAGCTTCTCGAGCAGTTCCAGTAACACTACCTGTGATCCATCTGCAGATGGCAGGATAAAGTCTCAAGGTCCTAGAACTAGGTGTGTTGTACCCAGCATAGAAAGCCAGATGATCAAGGCATACCTTCATTGGGTGGGGCATATATATCAGATGGAAGTTTCAAGAATTCCCAAAGCAATCTTCTTCAGTAAATTAGAGCAAGGCACAGACCACTAGGCAGATCATAACTGAGGTATAATGACACTGTTAAAAACAATCTCAATAGATGCAGCATTGGCCTTGTTAGCTGGGAAAGTACTACCCAATCCCATCGTACCCAAGCCCATGCAACTTGGAGGAGAACTTGCAAAGAGGCCATCGATGTCTTTGAGAACAGGTGTACCAGTATATTCACTGAGAAACATGCCAAGAGGAAGACTTATAGCACACAGAACCAACTTTATCAATCCAATATCTGCAATAGGGCTTGCAGCTCTGGAACTGGAAACTACTCTCACAAGTGGAATCATCGGTAATGTGTTGATAGAATACTGATGCATTGGCTCATAACACAAGAATCCATATATATATATATATATATATATAAGAGGAAGACCAACAGTAACACTCAGAACCCACTTTATCAATGCAGTATATGCAATAGGACTCTACTTTTACAAAAGGACTCATTAATAATGTGTCGATAAAATACTCATATGTTCGCTCACAATGCAAAAATTCATATAGATATAAGAAATAATGTTAGATTAAAAATTGATTATTTTGTTATAAAATTGCTTGATATGTCTGACAGAGTGATAATGTTAGCAGATTCAGGCTTAAAATTGTCTCAACAAGCGATAAATATTTCTTAAAAAAGGTAATTAAGCTTTTCTTTCCTTTGAGATCTGTCGTGAAATAAATACTTTTATGTGATTTTAGTGATATAAACAGGCACATTTTCAATATTTTTGATTATCCAGGTAGGTAGATGTTAACTTCTGTTTAAAATCAGAAATAAAATGGAACACTCTCCTAAAACACGTGTAGCCTCTTTGTTATATACCATACCTATAGATATGTCACAATCCTCATAAATATGTTGGACGCTATTGTAAGTGGGGGTAATAAGCTGTATAAGTAGTCCATCACTAGCAGTGGTTTACCTACTTTACACCGCTGGGGAGTACTCTATTTTGTTGGTATTATAAAGATTACCATTTCATTTCCAACCTCCATTTTGGTTATTCATCATTCAATAACCTTTTCTAGGTTACAACACACTTAATATAATGTCTATTGTAATAAAAAACTTAACTGTAAAGATATTTCTTTCTCAATTGTAAAAGTAAACCTGGAGATCTGGAATTCTCAGACTAGACTGTAGCTTTCTCTTGGGGAGAATTTGAAAGTTAAAACTAAAAAATAAAGATAGGACTCTTTGGCATCTTTAAAATTAAAGACTGAATTTTTTTTAAAAAATGAAAAAAATCGGCTTTAAACTAGCAAACCAGAAAAGGTTGATTGACTGACTTACCTCACAAATGAGATCAATGTCATAAAACCCAGGTAATCCGCAATCCATGAATGATAACTGACAAAGCTTACTCTCTTTTGGCTGCAGTAGGCCTTTCACTGGATTAACAGAGAGAAGCTGAAAGGAAATAAAGTAAATCGTCAAAGGTAAGGGGATAGAAAATACCAACAAAACTTATGACTATCAACAATGATAAGTTTGGTGGATAAGTACCCAGTATTAAAGTCAAATCTTGATTTTTTTTTTTTTTTGGTTTTACATAGTGGCACTTGCATGGGTCATGTTGCATCAAATAGCTTTTATTTTAATATTAATTTTATTGGTTCCAATTCTGGAGAGAATGACTGCAAAAACATCCCTGTCTCCAAATTTATAAACAAATCATACAGATGCATGCTGGGATTTCTTCCTGACCAATAAAATGAACCACTTCTTAGTATCATCAACCATATTTTTTGTTCTTTCTTGTCTTGAAATTAGAATGCTGCAATCACTTGTCTGTATCCATTTTTGTGTGTTAACACTATTCTGACCTTATGAACTTTTTGTCTGATTACTTTTGTTTGCCTCGTTTTGTCTTGTGTATAAATTGTTTGCTTAGCATTATTTTGCTGTTCTATTTTGTTTCTTATTTTTGATTGGAAACTTTGTCAATTGCATTCAAGTTAGGAATTTTTGGCAATTACACTTAACCATGACTAATTACTCTAAAGCATTGCTTTTATTTTCCACTTTCTGAATAAATATAAAGAATGTAGCAGAAATCATTCAAACTAATTCACTAGCTTGCTTACAGTAGGACTATTATGTTCATCTTTGCTGTTATTACCACAACATTTCAGCCACAGTATTCTCTAGACTTCTGGTTTCTGTCAAACTAGATAATCTTCAGGGAAGTTTGAACTGAACTATTCAATTTACAAGAACAAATTGTTCTCATTCTACTATGTTGATAATATCTCATCTTTCATAACTGTGAGTTCAATCCCTGGGTTGGGCAGTACAAACGAACTCAGACTAAGTAGAAGCAGAACAAGCAATTATTGAGATGTACTAAAAGGATGTTTAACCAAAGACAAACTATCTTTAGACTCTGAGAGCCGAATGAGAACAATCTACACCTGTACACTGAAAAAAAAGATTCAATTTGAAATTCCATAAATTTCTAACCTGGATCAACAAGGCCAGAGGGTGCAACAGCTGAAATACTGCGATAATAACAACAAAGATGAGGAAAATAGCTTGAATGTAAATAATGATAAATCATCATTGAAATTCAGATAAAAGTAATACATGAGCTGTTCAGACATATACACCATCATTCTTGGTGTTTATCATTGTATTTTCACCAATGTGTTTTATCTTTCTAGAGTTCATAATTCATCTTAAAGGCAAGGATTCTTATTAGAGATTACTGCAGGCAATGGCAATTTCATTTATACCAAACTGATCAATATATATACTAATGTTATTCATACTTCTATTCCAACAGTTTCTTTTCTCTTACTTATCATCTGTGGAACTCCTTTCTGATTTCTTGCCATCCTGCCACATACAATCTTCAAATCCAACATCAATTGCCTTTTTCTGTTTTCCTGACCACCATTACATTATTATCCTTTCCTCAATTTGCCTCACTAAATTCTTTTCATTTTTTTTCACTCCCTGTAACCCTCTGCATCCTAGTGGTATTATTGTCTTCCTTGGGATGAAATTATATATATATATACATACATATTATGAAATGGACAGAGTCCAACAATTTTTTAAGACATTTTTATGTTTATATGAATGTATAAACATCTTTTATAGATATAAATATTTAAGTAAAGGCTCTGTTTATAATAAACAATATTAACAACATTTACCGGCCTGAATGTCCGAGAAATTATCATAGAAAATAGGTGTCCTCCAACAGGAATCGAATCTGTATCCTATATGTAACTGTCATATAGCCTGATATGCTTTTACCAATTTTGCCACAGAGGAGCATTTCGGTTAGCAAGGTCAATATGATTTTCTCATATCTGCTTGATGTGTATCCAAATGTAAACAAATGATGCTACACATTATGAAATGGACAAAGTCCAACAATTATTAAAAGACATTTTTATGTTTATACATTCTTTTTTATATCTGTTTATAATAATGTTTATAATTCTCTGTGGCAAAATCGGTAAAAGCGTGTCAGACTCTATGATGGTTCTATATAGGATACAGGTTCAATTCCTGTCGGAGGACATATATTTTCTATGACAATTTCTTGGCCGGTAAATGTTGTTAATACTTTTTATTATAAACAGAGCATTTACTTAAATATTTGTATCTATAAAAAAGAATGTATAAACATAAAATGTCTTAAAATACACACACACACACACACATATATATATATATATATATATATACATATATATATATATATATATATATATATATATATATATATATATATTCAAGCATGTTGCATTAAATAATATAGACATATTATCTCTATTTATTTTTATAATAATTATTTCTAGTTCTCTAATTATGTTAAGTTCAAAGTCATCAAGGAAGGCACCATAATTTTTCTTAACTCAAGTACAACATATTCCAGTACATCTTCACAATACAAGAAAATACTTGTTGACAACATCAATAAACTACACCATGAAAATAATAAACAAAAACTTTAAACTCTCAAGGCCTACAATATCAAAAGCAACCAACACTGAACAAAATTAATAACAATTATAGTAGCAATATTTTAAAATATATTTCAGTTTACAAACATTTAACACCATTTTGAAATATGTTTGAGTGAACATAAGCTGCCTACACACACACATATATATTTCTAAAACATTAGTAACAATTTTATTTTAAATTGTTCGATTTGATGCCTTCAAAAGTCTAAACTAAGTAAAGCAAACAAAAAACTTCCATGAGAAAAGTAAATAATGCTGAACTATTATTTAATATCAGTCCCCTAGGGAGACAACATCAATTCTTCCATCTGCTAGATGATTTTCTCAGAGATGAAGTGGAGACTTGAAGCAACTGATATGTCGTTTTATAGAACAATGCTACAAATACCATGAACGGAGAATGTAAGCAATGAGGGATGATTGATTTGTTTTTATGAATTATCAACTTTTTACAGGTTATTTAAAGCCAGAAAATATTTTTAGATTGTCAAATTTTTTCTGAGATAATAATGATTTTCTCATACAAGTCCTACTACTTAACCAATAGCTGGAGAAGAAAGGGTGTATTCATACATTTCCCAAAGCTACTTTTACTGAAGTAAATACAATGAATCTGACTGGAATTGGAACCCAGTACTCCAAATTCTCATTACAAGACATTATCTTTTACACCACTCACACATGCAAGCTTACAGCACCTATTATTCACAAGTGGCTACCCATCTAGGTATTTTCCAGTCCCAAAGTTGCTTAACTCCTGTGATCAGGCAAGAACTGAAGTTATAAGGAAAACAGCAACAAAAAAGGCATACTTAAAATTAGAGAGAGTTGAAATTTTTAGGTGCCTGTGAAGAAAAAGTGTATGTAGAATTTGACACTCACATGACACATCAAAGGCAAGAGCAGCAGAGGGAATAACCTATTTAACAAGCTTGTCTAAATGGACAACAGAACAGGGAGTGTGTGGGAAAGTAAAAAGACAAACACTGTTAAGAAATACAAGGGATAGGAAGTAGTGAAGGGCCATGATCACCCACATCTTGAAGGGACATGCATAACAAAAAGAGTAGAAATACCTACATTACTTTGAACTCTTATGCGGTGTTTAATCAGTTTCATGGAAGCAGACATCTTCATACTTCAGTAGTCTCCATTACTACTTCCTATGATATGGACTTCATCTTAAAGAAACCATTATGTTTCCTCTTTTATTCCAAATATGTTCAGCAATGTCCAACGATCTGATAACACCTCACTTTTTTTTTCTCAGTCTAACTTGAGAAAAGTTATGATGCCTGAAGAAATATCTGACACTCAAATTTAAAACTATCTACACTTGGAACAATCTTTCATTGGAAGAATTTTACATTCTCGTAAAGGACAAAAGAATCCATCAGCCGAAACACAATGACTAAAGCAACAAGGATGAAGATATTAGTCTGAACTAATTAATGGCAGAAATATCATCATATCCAATCTTTTTTCTTATCTACTTTATATTGTATATGTCTATATACAGAAAGACATATATAGAAGTGAATTTATAACATTTTACTGAACACTTGAGCTATTTAGCTGATAGAATGTTATTCTACAGAAGGATGTTGAGAATAACACAGATGCAGTATTTATGCAACAAAGAGGTTTGAAGGTAAATGATAAAAAAATGATTTGGTTTGTTTTATGGCCTATCCACTTGAATAGGTTATTTATTGCCAATTAGATTTTTATTGCTGGTAATATTTTTTCAAAAATCTATTGCTACTAATATTTTTATTTTTTTCAAAAATGGATTGGATTTTATACTTTTTTCTTCAAAAATGTATTGCTGGTAATATTTTTTTCAAAAATGTATTACTGGCAATTTTTTTTCAAAAATGTATTACCTGTAATAATGTATTGCTGGGAATAACTTTTTTCTTAAAAAATTCATTGTTGGTAATAATTTTTTACACAAGTGTATTACTGGTATTAAAACCTATTTTTACACTTTCATAGTGTTTTGACCCCAGTTTTGGGGTTAACCTGGTCAGGGTGGATCTGGGAACACAATCAATTAAGACCTGGATCCATGCTCCTCAAAACCTCTTGATCAGAGGCCTTGATGTTGAATGTAGTTTATCATCTTACTCAGGACGCCAGATGTAGTTTATTATTTTACCCAGGACAAATAACAAAAAGGATATTTAGTCTTAGAATTAGAAAGAGACAGTAGAAATCTCTGGAGCACATATTGGAAGAAAAATATCATCGATTTCTTAATAAAATACTCATGGATATTTTTGGAGAATTCTTAAAGAATATTTCAAGAAATCCTTATCGAATAAAATAAAATAAAATAAAAACCTATAATGGACGGACCTTATCTATGTACTGTTACTCCCTTCCCTCTCATTAACAAAACAATGTCTTTAATTTTACGACCTA